AACCGAAAATAATCTGACCCTCAAAGTCAAATTTTGCCTTTATATTCATATATGTAAAATTTTGTTTGACGCGTCCAATTGCAAGTATAAGTAGGAATAAATGTAAATAATTATATTGTTATGAACATTTATACAATTTTGTTCACCTAAGGTATGTCTTTTATAGTCAAATCATTTACTTTAAAAATAAATATAATAAATAAATAGATATTAAAATTTTTCTTTTACATTTTATTCCTACATAAATAATAATTAAAATAATTAGATAATATGAGTAAGCAACAATAATCTACCAATTTTCAAAAAAGGAGAAGAGAAATAAATGTAAAGAGACATTTAATATTATTATTAAAATGTGTCAATGAATAATCAACATTAAATAACATTACTACATATTAACTATAAATAAGTTTTGAATACGATGTGAAATAGAATTTAGGCTTCCTTTTGAATCTAAGATCATTCAATTCGATCAAGTACTTAGTGAGATACAAAATATATGGTGATAGGTAAAGAGCTATTGTGTTTTTTTTTGAATTTTAAATCAAACTTGCATACCATACAACTATTGAATGGTTGATAAAACATTCATCAAATATATTTTACAAAATTTGTTTTCCAAGCTTTGTAGGTCTTGTCTAGTGTTGGTTAATAAATTTTAGAGAAAAACAGTTTTATAAACCCAAGTATATTGAAAACAGTAATGGTAATAGTAATATTTTTTTTTCCCTATAATATGCAATATTTACTTTTGTATCTATTTTTATATTATTATTAATCAATATTTCTTATATATATTTAGGAATGTAATGATTAAATTAAAAAGGATTTATTTATTAGTGATTTTGATTTTATTCATTTAATTATTTATCAAATATTGGATCTGATGGTGATGTTATTAATATATTAGTTGGAAAAATTTTTTTTTTGTTTTTTTTAATTTATTAATGATTATTATTACTTGCAATGTTTTTTATTTTTATATATATTATCTATGATCTACATCCCAAATTCTTTAATAAATATCCTTTTAATTCAACGAGAATGATGAGTTTTGGATTAAATATTACCACCACCATAAAATCAGCTCTATGAATAGATATATTTATATCTAAGAAAGCTAAAGGTAATAATAATAATTTAATGGGTCAAAAAACTCAGTACATTAATAAATGAATGTATTTAATACAAACCCATTACCACCCCAACCTAGGAACAGCAATGTTTTATATATTTTTATGGTTTCCAAGGTACAACTATCATTTGTTGCTTGATCTATCCAAAAAGCTAACAAATATTAGTAATTTATGTTACTTTTTTTTCAAAAATAATTACAATGTAACGAATGTCATCAATTTATAAAAATTATGAAAATAAATTTTATTTATAAAAATTCTGATTATAAATTTTATTTATAAATTTTAAATATAAATTTTAAATTTTAAATTCTATTTTTTGAATATAAACAATATAAAAAATATAAAAAATATATACAATATAAATAATATAAATTATTTGATTTTTAATTGTGTCATCTCATTTTTTTCTATGATTGATTTTTTTAATTTAATATTAGCAATTCCACCATTTATTTCCACATGTACATATTCATCACAATCAACTCTATTGTTAAAATAAAATTTTGTCAGCTTTGAATCATTAATTCATTAATCAAACAATCATATTTAAAAACTTACTCGGATGGTAGTAAAACTTTTAACTCAAATTTGCCAACAGGCAAATTTTTATATAAATATCTTCCATCGTTAACATCAAACAAATTATTACATGTTCCTTTTAATATTACTAATCTAGGTTTTTTTTTGTTGACATAAATTTCAATTTCACTTTTTCTTTTAATACCTGGTACATTTAAAATGATGTGAAATGAATTATCTTTTTCTGCCAAATCACATAATTGTGATAACCTAGTAGATAGTAATGAAGTGGAAGAAGTAATGTTATTACAATCATCATTGTTGTTGTTTAATTGCATTGGTGGTGTTGGTAACGAGGTAGGAGAAGAAGTAATACTATTATTATTGTTTTTTAATTGTGTTGGTGGTGTTGGTAACGAAGTTGGTAATGAAGTAGGAGAAGAAGTAATAATAATATTATTTTTTTGTGGTACTTGCATGTTGTAATTATAATTATTATAATTATTATTAGTTGATTGTGGATTTGATTTTGGCAATTGCATTTGAACAACGTTGTTTGAAGAAGTAATACTACTATTATTATTGTTTTTTAATTGTGTTGGTGGTGTTGGTAATGAAGTAGGAGAAGAAGTAATAATATTATTATCTGTTCGTGGTACTTGCATGTTGTAATTATAATTATTATAATTATTATTAGTTGATTGTGGATTTGATTTTGGCAATTGCATT